TGTGTTTAGAGACAGTAGTCGAAACCAAGAGCTAAGTTCAGTTTGTTGAGGGAAAAAAATGTGGCAAGAAAAGACTAGAAGGCCAGGGGTTAACCTTGGAAGGTGACTTCAGTTAAGAAGTAGGTAATGAAAGGGGAAAAATGATTCATGGAAGGAAATGGTGTAAGGAGCAGAGAGGTGAGAGAGAAACCAGGAAAAATCAAGGCTACAGAAGCAATGAAACAGGGAATTGAAAGAAGGTGGGTACTGAAGAGTGCCAGAAGCCACCGACTTGTTAGGGGCTAAAAGGACTGAGAAAACTCCAGTGGCTTTGGAAGTGGATTGGGAGGTAAGGAAAGACCATGAGGCTACATTCAATAGTGAGAGTGGCTACCAAAGGCCTAGACTTTGGGCCACTGGTAGTTAGTGAAAGAGTGGGAGAGATAAAGAACAGTAGCTTTAGGATTAAGGATTTTAAGACACCAGACATCTGTATATGTTTGAAAGCACAGAAAAAGGTGTCAGGTGGGTGAGAACTACCTAGAGAGGCAGGAGAATGTGGAGAGGGAAGAAACTTGACCTTCACAAAAGTGCCTCTTCTAGGCCAGGCAAGGTGCTAGATATTTTTGTTATCTTACTGAATCTTCAAACAGTAGCTTGTAAAGTAGCCATTAAGTTTAAGTACGCCATTTTACATACTGGGAGTTTCAGGCCAGGGTAGGTGGTGACCTGTTTTAAGTAAGTGCAGGAGTCCAGGTATGCGTTCACCCCTGCTCTTTCCATTGTGCCCCGTGGGAGTTAGGCGTGGATGAGCCAGAGCACCATGTTTGGGGATGCTGAGGGTGCAGTGAGAACTATACTGGATCTATTATGCACAGCTGTGCAGGTTTCTTCAGATTTATCCTGTAGCCTGCATGCTGAGCACAGACCGTGGGGATTACTAACATCGGGGAAGGGCAACATCGTACTGTTTTCATGATGGTTATGAGTAGAACATGCACATGGAAGTCACCAGCCACTATGGAATACTGGAGAACAGCTCTATGTAGTTGGGAGGGGGTATGGGGGTAAGCAAAAAATAAAAAGTCTTCATGATAAAAACAACTATGTATGATCACATCTATATCAAACTATATGTGTGTAGGTATGCAGAAAGTTGGCATAAATATATAATAGTATAGTTATCACAATAGTGGTTGGTGGTTATCTTGTTGGAGTAATTACAGATGATTTATTTTACTTTGTATTTTTTTGTGCTTTGAACTGGTTTGCGCTTTTTGAAATTTTAAAAATAAGCATGTGTGACTTATATAACCAGAAACAAAAACAACATAGCTGCTTTTGTTGTGTGGAAAACAACTTGTTGAATGAATTGTTGTTTTTAGAGGTAACTCAGAGAAGGGATTAGAAATTTTAGCCTTTGCTGACCAGATGAAGAGCAGACTTGGTACTTTTCCCATTGTTTTGTTAATACTGCTAACTGCAGTGTGAAAGTCAAAGAGAGGTGGATTCTGATAGTCAGCCTCCTGAGTTAGGGTCCGTATCTTAGCACTCTCCTGGCACATCCCCTTACTGGGAGCTCCAGCAACTCTCCCGGACTGAGGGATTTTTCTGGCAGCAGCCGAACTCTGAGTTTGCACCTGAGACAACCTGGAAATGCTTGGGAGCTGATACCCTTGGAAGTAGCCCTCAACAGATGATGGATGAGAGTTAGTGGTAAATATTCCAGCTTGCTTGCCCACAGGCAGGACACATCCAAGGTTTTTTTTTTTTTTAAAGATTTTATTTATTTATTTGAGAGAGAGAGAATGAGAGAGAGCACATGAGAGGGGGGAGGGGCAGAGGGAGAAGCAGACCCCCCGCCGAGCAGGGAGCCCGATGCGGGACTCGATCCGGGACTCGATCCGGGACTCCAGGATCATGACCCGAGCCGAAGGCAGTCGCTTAACCGACTGAGCCACCCAGGCGCCCCACATCCAAGGTTTTTACACACAGTTCCAGAGGGCCCAGCAGGCCCAGCCTCACCTCTCCATGTCACTGCACCTTGCATTGGCTTCTGTTGCTGTCTTACTTTCCACTCCTCTACCGGCATCTTGGAATCATCCTTCCCCCTAAATTCTTGCCTAAGAGCCTGCTTCTGAGAGACACCAACCTGAGACAGGATCCTCGCACTATTTATCTGCCTCTTTCCATGTCTGTGGACAAAACACTTGTTGCCTGCTTTCTTGCCCACAGGGCACAGAACAGGTTCAGGAACCTCCCAGAAGTGGTATCTGATATGAATACTTAATATTTGCATTGGTGAATGTTGATAAAGAACTGCTTTCTCTTATTTCTCCACCCTGCTACAAGTGAGGAACTTGTGATGAAATGACCCATAGCCCTGACTCATAGTCCTGCTTCACAAATGTGAAGTAGGCCAATCACCAAGGCCTCAAGTGGCAAATTCCTTCATGAAGTTCTGTCTTTGAGTGACAGTGATCTTACCCACCCACTTCCCTCATCTGCAAGTCATCCTTCTGTTTCCTGAGCCAGATTTCAAAGGGCTTAAGCAGCTTTCCTATTTTACTCCCACAATGTAGTGCACTCTTATTCAGTGGCTCATGGCCGTGCAGCTGTCGGTGACGACATGTGGTAGATTTCATCCTCCACTGAAATACAGACCAGTTGGCTATGTGGACCCTCCAGCTGGGGGCTAAGTGGACCCGACAACAAACTGGGATATTGCTGGAGTGAACGAGAGCTTTTGTATGTTAGTGCCTCTGTCTGTGGGAGGAAAGCACACAGGGAGGCTGCCTTTGAAAAACAACCTTGTTGGGGCACCTGGGTGGCTCAGTCGGTTAAGCGGCTGCTTTCGGCTCAGGTCATGGTCCTGGGGTCCTGGGATCGAGCCCGTCGGGCTTCCAGCTCCGCGGGAAGCCTGCTTCTCCCTCTCCCTCTGCCTGCTTGTGCTCTCTCTCTCTGTGTCAAATAAATAAATAAAATCTTTAAAAAAAAAAAAAAAAAGAAAGAAAGAAAAACAACCTTCTAGGCAGCACGCATCCCTCCCAGACTTTCTCCTCACACATCCCTGGCTCAGGTTCCTTGGATCAAGTGCCTGAGGCAGTGTACTTGTTCAAGTGAGCGGGGGGATGGAAACTTGAAGATTGTTTTTGACTAAAAGGTTCTGAGGAAGAGCCCACTCTCATCACTTGGGGGCAGTTCTTTGATGTTTTTCCTTCTTTTTTTTTTTAGAGGGAACCCTTCTATCAAAGTGTTTGTTTTTAAATCACTAGAATGTTCATTTCTAACACAAATCTTAGTTTGTGCTTAGAAATCCATTGGTAGGACTTGCATGGCAATTTGAACTAGTGTGAGCAGCACTACATAGATATTAGCCATAACTCATTGAGATTGTGACCTTGAGGAAGCCAGAAAGAGTTAGAGGACCGGGGTTCAATTCCCAGCGCTGTTTCTTACTAGACTTTGGGCAAGTCATCTACTCTTACCTCTTAAATAGAGTAATAATACCCATCTCACAAGGTTGGTGAAGATTAAAAGAAATAAAAAGCACATTTTAAATCATACAGCACCATACAGTTGTTAATTACTTCTGTTTGCTTCATTGCTTATTTCAGCTGGATTTGGATCTGTGTTTCAAGAAAGTATCATTCTAGGAGATTATCAACTTCAGCTCTTTTTATGTATAAAATAAATATATATTGCTTTATGTAATGTCTTGATAAGTTTTCTCAAATTATTTTTGGAATACATTAGAATATAGACCATGAATGAATGAATTAAATGAATGAGTGAATCTGTGGAGGTATCAGTCTAGCACTGCTTGTAAAAACTAAGTGTGCTAAGCAAAGTCAGAAGAAAGATCTTAGCTTTAGTCCTGGCTTTAAAAATGGTACCATGTTCTGTGAAATAATTGAACAGAAAAATATTCTTTTTCTCTTTTTCCAGTTCTGTCTTAAAATCATTAACTCCTTTCAAATGTATAAGCCAGAGTTTTAAAAAGAGGATTAATGAATATAAGAACTTCTGTTATTAACATTCTTCAGAAGTGAGTGGCCCTAACCAAAGTTCAATGGTCTTTTGGTAAGCCCCGCTTCCTGTCTAAAAGAAAGGAAAATCAAATCATCAGCATAATAGAAGAGTAAATCAGATGCACATTTCCTTGAAGATGAGTTTTCCCTTCTTTTGCTTGTTTCTTTTTGTTATTTATACTGTCTGCACCTGCCTCACACCCAGGGAATGAATTTTATAGGCCTCAGGATGAGAGATATCTTCGGTCACCTGCTATGAAAGGCTCAGTCAGTGGTTTGGGGAGAATGAGGGAAACATATTCCGGATTGAGGTTCCCACGAGTGGACCTGGTTACAAAGGTTTTGTTTGTACTTAACCCTCTCCATCAGACTGAGGGATGCCTCAAGATGCAGTTGGAAGCCAAACTCTTTTCTTGAGGGTGAAGAAACATACAGCTTTGGTTCTACCAGGAACCTAATGAAGTGGTTTCTCATAAGGTCACCAGTGAGGTTTTCATTTAAAATCTGGGACTTTACTCCAAATGTCCAGATACTTAAATTCATTAGCCGTTTTCAAAGAGGCATGTGGTAAATAGGAAGTGCTCTAATGAAATCAGGCATACAGTGTCCACCTCAGGACCCAGGTCACATGAGAATTGGGTAGTTTTCTGTAGACTTTGTAGAGAGCGGTGTATTAGGGATGAACTGAATAGGGATAAAAGAACAAAATCATTCAAAGCAATAGCCCTGAGGGAAAGTGGTGACAGGCAAAAAAAAAAAAAAAAATCAGCGGGATATTAGGTTTTTTAAGGAAAAATGTTTAAGCCTGTGAGTGTCACACGAGCATGTTTTAATTCCAAACATCTGAACCCAGTGTACATTTTCAAGCAATGATGGGAAATGTGGATAGGTTGAATGGAAAAAAAGAAAACAGTTGAATTTGGCTAATTAAAACAGTACATATCGATTTCTGAAATGAAAGCTAACCATTATCTTGGTTTGAACTTGCAGCTCCTGGCTAAATACAGAGGCTTGCAGTGGGATAAAGTACTGCGACTAGAGGAGGTGCAGGCCAAACTTGGAGTCAGTCTGGAAGAAATGCTGGGGATCACAGAGGATGCCCTTCACCCCGAACCCTATAGCCCTGAGGAGGTCTGCAAGTGTCTGGGAATTAGCCTACAGGAGCTTCAAACCCAAATTCTGAGTCCAAACACTCAAGATGGTGAGTCTGCAGAAGAAAGTGAAGAACATGGGTTGTTCCCTTACTCACAGCTGGAAAGATTCCAGTATCCCCATGAATTTTACTGATTTTGAAGCATACTTGAGGGTATTTGGAGAATGTGTATGTTTTGGCAAACTTAATTATCTAGATTCTGGGCTTCATTAAATTCACTGATTGATTCATCACCAAACATTTCCTGATCTGCTATATGTATTCTGGTGAGGCAGCATGGTTCCTGCCCTCGAGAAGTTCCTATTTCAAGATGTTTCTCTTTTTTTCCTCTATGCATTTTTCTGATTATTATACGATGTACACAAAAAGGTCTAGGTTGGAGCAGTGCTTATAACTGCTGAGGGCCCCCCCCCGCCGGAACACCAGAAAGTTCACTGCTTAGCTTGAAACTTGTGTCTGTTTGCCTCCTGCTTTCAAGCAATGTTGTTTTCACACTGGTAACATCAGATCCCTAAGATGAAGGTAAAGGGCGGAGGTGCGCAATGGGGCCCTGGGGTGACTTCCCTTCGTAGAAGGAAAGGTTGTCTGTCTGTGGGCAGTCAGCACTGGGGAGCAGGGACATCTAGCTAAGATCCAGTTGCCTTCGGAGGTAGAGTTGGGTTGGGAGCTTGTGAAGGCCAGCCTCAGGGCCCCGTTTCAGTTCAGTGCATTGCCTAAGCTGCTTAACGTGGGTGTTAACTTTCTCCTCAGTTTGGCCTAACTCTGTGCTGTCCTGGCTCCCTTTTGAGTCCATACATGTCCACTTGGACAGTGTCGTCTGGGCTGAACCATTCCACTTACTAATTGCATCTTGGTCTTGCCTCTGGACCTTTAATCCTAAACATCACTGCCCTTTTCCTCTTTTCTGAAATGCATTTCCTGTCTATCTTAAAAGCTCAATATAATTCTTATCTTTTCCATATCCATCTCAATCCACAGCTTGTTCCCTTTCTCTGTATCCATGTTCCTTTTTCTCTGCATCTGCCCATCTTTCCAACCTCTCATTTTTTTTGTTTAGCATTAAAAAAAACAAGTTAACTTACCAGAAACCTTGGAAAACACAAAAGATACTTTCCTTATCATAGTACATGCATTGCTGTTTATGTATATATTTAAGGTTTTTCCCCCAAAGAATAATGATTTCATTATTTTTATAAAAACGATGCATGCTTCATCTTACCCCTTCATCTAAAATAACTACCCTACTGGCCCACTTGCAATGCTTTCTATAATTTACTTAAGTTTTATTTGTACTCAATAAATCTATGTTGAATGAATGAATCCATTTTGTAATTCTGCCATCCTCAAAGGGTTTCTTCCTCTTTTGCTATTGGAATTAGTAAGTTAAAAAAAACACCAAAAACAACTATGAACATAAATCAGTCTGTGGGGTTCTAGAATCTCCTAGATTAGTGTCACTTGATATACTTTCTGAATCTAGCCATCTAACTTCAGCCAAATTTCCAGCTGAATTCTCTTGGCACTCAGCTTTCACTTTAGGGATCAAGATCCTATTGTATCTTTTCCTTGTTCCTTCTGATTTTGTGCTTTGGTTGGTCCAAGAACTTAAGCAAACGTTTCTCTTAACCCTTTAGAAGATGAGATTCTTACTAAATGTGGTGCTGCACTTAGATTATATGAGGGGGTGCAGAGATGTCATATGCCCCCAGCAGAGGACTCTGGAGGGTGCTTCTGCCTTCATTTCAGGTGCATACACTTGAACATATTTAGTGTTGACTACAACTAATTTTTCTCATCAGGGAGAGCCATCCCTTTCTCAAAGGGATGTGGAATCCAATGTTCTCTTTCAGCCAAAGTTGCTTTCTTTATCTGGTTATGAGTGTGGTTTGGGAGATGTGCACCATGAGGTGACAGTGCAAGGAGAGATGTTTACAATCAAACTATGGCTCGCAGCCTTTGCTAAGCCAGCCAGACTTCCAAAGGCTCATGTACACATACAATTGTTGTTTTCTCTTTCCAAATTTCTAATAGTTAGATTTGGAAATGCTCAGAGGCCATTAAAATTAAACACACAAAAGAAAATCCTTAAATCCTTTAAACGTTGTTTAGAATGGCTACAGTCCATCACTAGGAACTGGCTAAGAGTAATTTAAGTGTTATTTGTGAGGCCTTGCCTACAGGTAGGAAGAGTCTAAGGGTGTGATATGATGTGTGGGTTTCTAGAGGCTCGGGGGCCAGGCTGATTTGAGGTGGGGGGTTGTCTCCTAAGGTGTGAACCAAGAGGGAAAAGATGAAGCTATGGTCAGAACGAGGAGAGGTGGGTGCATACAGCTGGCTCAGGGGTGGCCCTGCTGCTCAGATGCACTGTGCTGGGCTGGAAAACGAATCTCATTGCTTAGATTAGTAATCGTCTGGGACCATATGCTGACAAAGTGCTGGCCAATTGCTGACTAATTTGTTTGGATCCTGTGATTTCCAAAGTCATGAGCAATAATCAGGCCTTTGAGCAAGCACAGGGCACTGACATGGACTGCTCTTTAGGAAGACATCTAGAGTAAAAAAAGCAACAAAAAACTTGTTATTTGCTTTATGGTTTACGTATTACTCTTCACTCACATGATATAGTTGGAATCTCACAACAACTCTGGGTCACATGGTTATCTTCGTTTCATAGGTGAAGAAAGTGAGGTCAGAGAGTTACAGGATTACAGTTACAGTGATATGTGTTATGTACTGACCAGTGACTGTGCCACTGATGGGTAGGTTAGAGCTCAGAACCTCCCCCTTATCCCACAAGGCTAATAATGGCTCCTAAGCCACCCTGGAGCCACAAGAGCAGGAGAATTCTGGAATTTTCATTCATCCAGTCTCTTGTGTGAGACTGTTAAAAGAGCTAAAATGAAACAAATTCTGAAGGTACGTTTTCAGGAGGAGCTGATCCCTGCAGTAGTCTTAAATACATTTGGCCATCTTGAACTGAGACAGGCCCAGAATGAATCTATGAACTTGACCACCTCTTCATATTCTGTACCTTTAAACCCTTGAGTTCCCCAGGTTTCTCGAGTTACTGTGATTTGGGCATGGCTGGCAGGAGAGGATGTAGTGTGGTAGAGAGTTAGATCAGTGAGACTAAACACTGATCTCTGTCAGACACTCTGGTCCTCTTTGTTGAAGACGAGTGTTTTCCTATCTCTAGGAAGGTCATCCTTGCGTACCAAGCCCTTAGCTTCAGGGAGACCATACCTGGTATGGAAGAGGAGGCAGGGGACATCTACCTTCCTGACAACAGTGGACCCATGGGCTCTGGTGACCTACACCTATGAAAGCAAGCTGGAAACAAGTTTTCCAGCCTCTGATGAGACTCGCATACAGTAGTTACTATAGTGGCATTTCCCAGAAATAAACCCTGACAGAGTCACAGCAACTAAACATGAGCCACAGGCACCATCTTCCCCCAGGATTTGTATCCTTGCAACAGGGTCCCTGTTTCGTGCACCTCTGTATTCCTGCAATGACTAGCACATGTTTGCTGAATGAATAAATGAGTTAAATTAATTTTCTTCTATCCATATAGAGAAGTAATGGGTAGGAGGCCAATTCAAGAACGCACTCCAAGTCTAAGTAAAGGGTGGTGGTCGGGGCTGAGTATCTAGCTTTAAAAAAATCTGTTCATTCTATATTAATAGTAATAATAGTACTAACATCTAACATTGAGTGCTTACTATGCTGTAAACACTCACTGTTCTAAGTGTTTTAAAACATTTGCTGTACTTGTCCTCATGTTTAGAGTACCTGCATGAAATAGTCCTTTTCCAGGCTGTAAACTGGTGTAAACACCTTTGAACACACACATTCAAATATTGATACATTCACTGTTCCTTTATGTCGTTCTCCCCACCCTCCTAACCTGTTCCTACTCTTGAGATATGTCAAGCTCCCCAAATTAGGCAGCGTCTGGGGAACAGAGAACTTTTTGATAGATGTTGTTTTTGTTTTTGTTTGAAAATCTGTTTAAAAGAGAAAGGCAAATGCATTTTCCATTACAATACTAATTAGGCTTGTGCTCACTGACATAACTGTTAATAATGCTGAATATTCCTTTTTCATTCTATAAACAAAGAGTGATACCAATGTTCTGCGGCCAACAGAACATTCTGTCTTGCATCTCAATGTTTTTGACAGTGGTCTTTGAATTCACACATGGACTTTCCTTAAAACATTTGAAATCTCTGTAAGTGAAATAGAGCACAGGCTACATAGATTTAGTTTAGAGGAACATAAGGGATAAAGACTGGCTTCAGATGATTTTGCTGCTAGGAACATCCATATGGTAGGTTCCAATATTTTGCACTTTTACAGATGAGGAAATGGAGGCACAGAACAATTAAGTAACTTGCCCAAGGTCACACAGCTAAAAGTGGCAGAGCTGGGATTCAAACCCATGCAGTGACTCCAGAGCCCTCCCTCTATGTATGCCCTCCCTCTTAACCACTGATGTGGGGCTGTATTAGACTTTTAGCAGAGAAAGGCATTTATTATTTAGATTTGACCACATGCAATTGTGTGAGCTGTGTAAACAGTACATAAGGCTCTATCTTGGCATCCAGTGCTGGAACCTGAAGTCGACAGGAAACAGTTAGGCAGTGATGATTGATGTGAAGTGGGGGGCAGCAAGGACAAGCAGGAACCCATGAGGATGGCCAGGAACAGGACTCAAACTCTCACCATCTCCGGGCCTGCCACTTTGATGATACCGGTGTCCTGCAGGGGAAGCTAAACATGTACCTGGCCCAAGAGGCAGAGAAGCTGAAAGAAGGGTCAGTGGGATCGGGGCGGGGGCGCTGTGGACCAAGCTGTTGCTCCATGCTGGTGAAGTGAGCTGGCAGAGAAGTGATAAGGTACATGAGCTGCAGTGGCACCTGGTGTCCCTGCTTAGACCACTGAGGCATCAAAATAAATGCCTTTCATCTTTCCTAATATATTTTTTAATTTGCTTGTTTCTCCTGTAACTACTTGGTTTCCTGGCCCTGCCAGCTTCCTCCTTCACC